TGTTATATAAATTTATTTGAATTATGATATATTTAGATAATATTTATTTATTATTTTAATGAGTTAACCTATTTCTATTAATCCTTAAGAAAAAGTGTGGTATGATAAGGGTAGTAAATTATTAAATATGATAATTAGGAACAGCATTAGCCGATTTGAATCAATACCAAGAAGCAATTTAATGTTTGAATGAAGCTATTTCTATCAATCCGAAATATGAGTAGGCATTGGTTGCTAAGGGTAATAAATTTGAATTATTTTAATATTTAGGAAATGCATTAAGGAGTTTGACCCAATATCAAGATGCAAGTAAATGTTATGATGAAGCAATTTCTATAAATTTTAAATCTGATGCTGCATGGATTGGCAAGGGTAATTTATTTTTAAAAATTAATTAATAGGATTGGTATTAGTAGAATTGAATCATTATGAATAAGCAATTAAATGTTATAATGAAGCAATATCCTTTAACCCTTTATCTGTTAATGCATGGAATAACAAGGGTAATTTATCATTAAATAATTATATATAGGTTATGCATTAAATGATTTGAAATAATGTGAAGAAGCAATTGAATGTTACAATGAAGCAATATTTATTAATCCTAAATATATTAGTGCTTGGAATGGCAAAGGTAATTTAACGTTAAATATTATTATAAAGGTATTGCATTAAGAAATTTGAAATAATATGAAGAAGCAATAAAATGTTACAATGAAGCAATATACATTAACCCTAAAGATGCTAGTGCATGGTAGAACAAGGGTAAATAATTGTTTAATATTATTATGTAGGTATAACATTATATAATTTGAATTAAAATGAAGAAGCTATTGAATGTTACAATGAAGCAATATCTATTAACCCTAAATATGTTGATGCATGGAATAACAAGGGTAATTTATTGTTTATTATTTGGCTTTAGGTATTGCATTAGATGATTTGAATTAATATGAAGAAGCAATTGAATGTTACAATGAAGCAATATCTATTTCCCCTAAATATGTTGATGCATGGTATAACAAGGGTAAAGAATTGTTAAATATTATTATATAGGTATTACATTAGGAAATTTGAATTAATATAATGAAGCGATTGAATGTTACAATGAAGCAATATCTATTAACCCTAAATATGCTGAAGCATGGAATTACAAGGGTAAAGAATTGTTAAATATTATTATATAGGTATTACATTAGGAAATTTGTAATAATATGAAGAAGCAATTGAATGTTACAATGAAGCAATATCTATTAACCCTAAAGTAGATTATGTATGGTTTAACAAGGGTAAATAATTGTTAAATATTATGATGTAGGTAATGTATTAGGAAATTTGAATTAATATAATGAAGCAATTGAATGTTACAATGAAGCAATTTCTATTAACCCTAAATATGCTGAAGCATGGAATAACAAGGGTAATTTATTGTTAAATATTAATATATAGGCATTGCATTAAGAAATTTGAACTAATATGAAGAAGCATTTAAATGTTACAATGAAGCAATTTCTATTAACCCTAAATTTGCTGAAGCATGGTATAACAAGGGTAATTTATTGTTAATTACTAACATATAGGTTTCACATTAAATAATTTAAATTAATTTGATGAAGCAATTGAATGCTTCAATGAAGCAATATCTATTAACCCTAAATATGCTAGTGCATGGTATAACAAGGGTAAAGAATTGTTAAATATTATTATATAGGTATTACATTAAGAAATTTGAACTAATATGAAGAAGCAATTGAATGTTACAATGAAGCAATTTCTATTAACCCTAAATATGCTGAAGCATGGAATGACAAGGGTAATTTATTGTTAAATATTAATAAATAGGCATTGCATTAAGAAATTTGAATTAATATGAAGAAGCAATTAAATGTTACAATGAAGCAATTTCTATTAACCCTAAATTTGCTGAAGCATGGTATAACAAGGGTAATTTATTGTTAATTACTAACATATAGGTATCACATTAAATAATTTAAATTAATATGAAGAAGCAATTAAATGTTACAATGAAGCAATATCTATTAACCCTAAAGTAGATTATGCATGGTATAATCAAGGGTAATTCATTTTTAAATCTAAATATATAC